TATATATATATATATATATATATATATATATATATAACAGATATATATATCAACAGATACTGATTCATACATGTATATGACTGTATCTGGCTGAGTATCTGTTCACATACATATGTGTAAAGTGTGGCTGTCTTTGGCTTCGCGATCGTCATCGTCTGCATTTGATTGTGTATTTTGCGTGTGCGTGCGCGTTTATGCGTATGTGTAAATGTATGCGTTGTGTAGCGGCCAATGCGTGTGACCAATAAAAGTTAACATGAATAAAAGCGCAAAAAGAAAATGTTCTAATATTTGTATAAAAATTCACGCCATTAAAGTATGTATTATTTAAATGTGTAGGCAAATGATTACAACCACCGCATACACATGTATACACTTGTATTTCAATGCCCACACACATGCACGATTATATCGGAGTGCGCACTTATGTATGTATGTAAGTATATACAAATATTTAAAAATGAGATACAAATACACAAGTATAAAATGAGTGCAAAAACTAATGATTATAATGTTCTTGTGACAGCATAAAATAAATTAAATTAAAAATAAGTGCGTATACCTGTTATACCGACGGCAAATTTTCAAATATGCATTCACTTGCGGGCTGTTTTTACGCGATGTATTTATATCCAATTTAACGAAGAGTTGTATTTAAACTGTATTGCATTTATATACACGTGCACATACAAATTCTTAATTCTTCATATTCGAATTCACGCAAATATACAAATATTAAGTGACACAACACACTCGGTTATACACTCACACACTCTGATCGTTGTTTGTTTGTGTGTGTTCGTTTATTTGCTGAAAATACGAAACATTTTCATATTCTCTTCTTTTTGTATTGTTTCGCTCTTTTTTCTACCTGTTGAAATCCTACAATCACGTCCCTAAATAGAAACTCATATCACTAGTTCCATGCCACCGCTGTTGTTGTTGTGGTTGTTGTCGTCGTGGTTTTGGGTTCGCTTGTTACCTTGAACTAATAGTTAGCCTTATTCCCTGCTGAGAGTGCACACACACACATACACGAACCAATCGCAAACTGTTGCCTGATTTCTATGTATTTGTCAATAAATATGTTTGTAAGCATGTTGTGTATGCGATGCGAGGTTCGAGCTTCACATAGCCCTACGAAGATACACCAGCACACCTCTCTCTCTCTCTCTCTCTCTCTGCTATCTTTCTCCTCTCTTTCTATGGGACGCTACGATATGCATGTACATGTATGTGTTGAAATATCTACAAATGTATGTTTGTGTGTCTGTAAATGTTTGTCCGTATTCCATTGGGTCGCCTTTTGCATGTGTATTTCGTCTCTTCGGAAGACTAAAGCACTAGCACTAACTGTTCTAGGAAGAGACGGTCGACGATCGCCAGTTCGGTTTTTCTGCCATAAGACTTTGTTCAATTTACTTTTAACGAGAGTTATTAGATTGTGGAACATATGTATGCGTATGTATGGATCGCCTACCTGCCGCTAACGATCTTTCGTATTTCAGAAAGTGCTGCTATGCGATACCCTAAGTTGTTTAATAAGCAATTTCATTTTTATCACATTAATTTAGTGAAAGTGCTTGACTGGAATATACTTTGACTTCGAGCGACCTGAAATTTTCGCGTACAGATAATGTCAAGACATTTTAACAAGAAAGATTTTGCGTAAGCTTTTCACAAACAAGAAGTATGTATTTTCACAAGCAATTATGTTAAAAAAAAACATTTGATCCTAAGTCATCGCCATAAAATATAGTTTTCATTATGTTTCTAGGCTATATTATATATAAATCTATAAATCTATTGAGTTCAGGGACAAAAATTTTTGACTATTGTATATAAGACTATAAAATTTATTGTTTATTCTTCATTAACCAAACAAATACAAAAAAGTAACTAAGCCTTGAAATCGGTCATTATAGAATTTGATTATATATGTAGAAATGTAAGAATGAAAGTTAAAAAATATCCAAAGTGCCAAGACCACGGCAAGGGGGGAGCTGTGACTAAACCAAAACTAAAACATTGATCATTAGATATTTAAGATAGAAAATAATATACATACTACATGTTTTTTTTCTTATCGTGGTCGAAAGTCAAATTAATCGAAAATACCTACATATATAATTTAATCTTAAGTAAAGGGTCATTTATTGCTATGTGTACACATTGGAAATTGTAAATATTTGAATAAATGAAGATTTTAACGGAATCATAGAATACTTTATTTTTTGCTTTTGAAATCAGTTTAGATCAATTAAAGTTTGATTATTAATAAATATCATATTTACAGATGGTAATTGGAAACAAAATGGACGACGCTTTTTACGCAATGCCTTCAAAGAAAACGTGAGATTGCACTTGAACTATATAAAATGGAGGACCAGTCTTGTTATCTCTGAAGCCAATCAAGGTCATATGGACTGACTTATAATGCCATTTATCAGAATCGTGGCGATTTAAAAAAATAAAAATTAGAAATCCGGAATATATTAACCATGCCGCATACACACACGCGTCATGGATCATCCGGTGATGATTTAGGCAGCACGGATGAAGTTAAGATATTTAAGGATGAAGGTGATCGCGAAGATGAGAAAATATCATCCGAGAACCTTTTAGTCGAAGAAAAGTCAAGTTTAATTGATTTAACAGAGAGTGAGGTATGATTTTGTTTCTCGTTGACTAATTAATAAGTATAATATAATTTGTTGAAAATTAACTCTAACGAATTCTCTTATGCTCATAGGAAAAGAGCAGCAAGACGGTGACACGTCCGGATCACAGTCCCGTATTTAGTGAGTATTCACAATATTGTATAAGCTAATTCATATTCCTCCTCCCTTGCCTTGTTTATATCTATAATTAAGTATATCGAAATAGGACTACAGAAGAACCAATATACAATATACAGAATTGACAATCACGTGGTATCTGTCCATTCCACTAATGCATTAATGCTTTTGCCTGCATACACTGCAAACAATATACATATGTGCGTGTATGTATGCATATATATATATATATATATATATATATATATATATATATATA